AGACAAGCTCAACCAAACACACCAGACACACACACACACACATAAAAACAATGAATAATGTACTGAAAATAATAATAATAATAACAACAAAGTGGTGGAGCAGTGATGGGCTGGACAGCCAGGCTACGATGGCAATGAGTGACAGCGTGATGGTGTTACCGTAAAGGGTCCATGTACCTGTATAGTACATACTTGGGCCCTAAAGCTACCATATGGGAACCCCTTGAGGCCCGATTATATACCACATTAGGTACATGGACCCCTAGGGATTGGTGTTTTGATGGTAGATGCAAACCACGGTAAGGCAGAGCTCTACAGTGACAGTGGGATATTTGGCGATGACGGCTTTTAAGGTTATGGGAGTGCTTGGGAATACCTTTTTGCTGGATCTCCGTGTCTGCTGACGTGACCTGGTGTTCTTCTCCGTCTGGTACTTGGATGGTGCTTGCTTTGTCACTTTTTGATGGTATCGGTGGATTTTACTGGACTCTGGATGCATTGGCCTTTTGCAGATGGCACATGGAATGCAGGGATTAGTGAGTGATTGACCTAAGCAAGATATGCCAGGTGCCTCTGCAAGGCAGAAGGTTCCTCTCAGAGCTTCAAAACTGCAGCAAGAGCTGGGGCCTGAAGGTAAAAACGGCTTGGGGTTTAGGGCTCAGGATTTGGGGTTTAGGGCTAGGACTTAAGGTTTAGAGTTTAGGGTACGGATTGTAACAGGCGCCTCAGAAACTTCAGGTTTCAATAGAGTCTTCCCCAGCGCACAAAAACTAGGCAGCCATGGGGCGCTCTAGAAATTGTAGCTGGGGACCGGGGCGGGGGGCGCGGGGACGGGGGGTACTCCTAAGCCCTATAACCTCGAACCCGAAACTACCCTAACTGTTCCTGACTACCCGAACTAGCCCTTCCCCCTCCTTCGCCCTCGCCGCCCAAGGGCCCGAACGGCCGCGGAACTTCCGGGCTGTTTTTGGAGCACAGGTGGCCTGGAAACTGTCCTGGAAACTTGAAAAAATTGGAGTTTAGGGTTTAGGGTTAAGGGTTGAGGGTCTAGAGTTCAGGGCTCAGGATTCAAGAGGGTCGATGGTTTCATCATTGATGTCGGAATTAAGCGGTCTACTCGGAGGTTCATGGGTTTATAAGACCTCAGTAAGGTAATAACCATAGCTACTCTGCATATAACCCTAGTGATATGTACCCATGAACCTCCAAGTAGGGTTCCGTTGGAGCTCTTGACACTCCGGACTTGAGTGTACTTGAGGCTTGACATCGACATCAGAAGTCCGAGCTTGCGCCTTCTGAACTCATGGTTCGACAAGCTCGAGCCAGGTTCCCCCGATAAGCTGGTCTAAGGCGTAGGGTTTAGGGTTTAGGGTTTAGGGTTTAGGGTTTAGGGTTTAGGGTTTAGGGTTTAGGGTTTAGGGTTTAGGGTTTAGGGTTTAGGGTTTAGGGTCCGCCGACCCTGGCGGCGTGTTGGATGGGAAAAGGCCTCCCTCCCCTCCCCCCCCAAAACGCGGGGGGGGTGGGGGGGGGTCGGTGCACAATTTTTTCGTGGAGGACCGCGCCACCCGCACAGCGTAAACAGGGGGTTCAGCACGGGGGGTAGGGGCGCCCTCAGCAAAATCGCGGCCTCCCACTGCCCCCCCCCCCCACCCCCCCCCCCCCACACCCCCCCCCCGCCACCCCCACCCCCCCACCCCCCCCCCCACCCCCCCCCCCCCCCAACCCCCCCCCCCCCCAACCCCCCCCCCCCCCCACCCCACCCCCCCCCCCAACCCACCCCCCCCCCCACCCCCACCCCCCTACCCCCCCCCCCCTCCCCCCCCCACCCCCACCCACCTGTCTTTTTGGCTTGAGCTTGTCCTGGTGCTACCCCCTACCCCCCCCCAAACGATTCACAGAACTCTGCCGGGGATGATCTTCCATGCGAGCGGGTCTCAACTATGCTCCAGCGGGGTCGGCGGCTTGAGCCGGAGGCTCTTAAATCCGGCCCCCGCGCCGCCCGTGGTCCAGGGCGGAGCCCGCGTCGCACTAAAGCGCTAGCTTTAAGGGGCGAGCGCCCGAGCCGCCGACCCCGCCCAAAATTGCTTCAAATTCGCGCGGGGCCCTTCGGGAGGCCTCCAAAACGGCATCCAAGGGGACGCAACACGCGGTGGTGCGAAAAGCACGAAAACCTCGTAAAAACCATGGGTTTTTACGAAAAACCGAGGCCACAAAACACCCGCAGCACCCCATTAAACCCTCACGGGCGCGCATCATCGGCCCTAGCTTTTCACATGGGGCGCGCGCCAGGCCGAAACCACGTTTTTCAAGGTTTGGGGGGGGTACCGGAAGCCCAAAACCAGGCGAGCATCATGAGCATCAGCAGCCCTGGCCCGCGGGCCCAAGGCAATAAAAAACGCTGAAAAACGCTGAAATCACCGTAAATACCGTGTTTTTATGAGGTTTTTCACGCGTGCCTCCGACCCCCACCCCTGTTGCCCTTGACCCGCCCCCAAAGTGCGCATCATCGAAACCCACGTCCGGGGGGGGGTCTGCTGATGCTGCTGATGCGCGGGGTCCGGGCGCATCATCGAGCCATCGCTTCTCATGGGCTTCGTGGGGGGGTCCGGGCCGACGGCCCAAAGACCCAGCTGATGCTCATGATGCTCGGTTTGGGGGGGTGTCCCAACAGCAGAAAACCTCGTAAATACCGAGTGTTTTGTGGGTCCACGTAAAAACGCCCCTAAAATCGCTCATTTTACGCGCTCGAACGGCTTCGTGCCTACAAAACACCCGAACAGCAGGACCCCGAATGCCCTTAAGGGCATTCGGGGTCTTGCTTTTGGGGGTTTCGTGGGCACGCAAGCGTTCAAGCACATACAATCGGCGTGTTTAAGGGGGTTTTGGATGGCCTGGGGGAGGCCGCTGATGCTCATGATGCTCCCTTTCCTGGGTCCCAAAAGGCTTCCCAAGCCCAAAAACACGTGTTTACAGCGTTTTCTGAAGGTTTTTCGAAGGCAAAACGCATGCATAGAATGCTTTTAAGGCCCCCAAACCAACCCCACTGATGCTCCTGATGCGGGTGCGCGCGCGCGCGCGCCGGGGGGGGGGGGGAGGGAGGGGGGGCGAAGGCAGGAGAAAGAGAGACAGAGAGAAGGAGAGGACAAAGACACGGGAAAGAGAAGACAGTGCCAAGGTTCAAGGTTTCGTGCTTTGGGGGGCGGGGGCCGGCCCGTGCCGCTAGGCCTGAAATTTAGGGTTTAGGGCTTAGGGTTTAGGGTTTAGGTTTAGGGTTTAGAAAGTTTAGACCTATGTGGGGCCTGCTTGGAAGCCCCGATTCTGACCCTTCCTAGAGGGTCATCTACCTCTAATCCTGGGCTTCCAGGAATGCTAGGCAAATAACAGGGAACCTTGCGCTGCGTAGTTTCTGCTTGGAGGTTCATGGGACTTAATAACCACTTAGAACTGGGCTTATAGCCCTACATATAATTGGGATAACCCCTATAAGGCCCTTTAGGAGTATTATAAGTAGGGTAATAAGCCCAGTTATAAGTGGCCATTAAGTCCCATGAACCTCCATGTGGGGCAACCCAACTCTTAGATAAAAGGAAGGGCTTAGGTCACGGCTCAAAATCTCAAGTCCTTGCAGTATAGCGCATAAGCACTACACGAAAAATAGCCACCCAGCCATTTGTCGCAGATCATCAAACACTTACACGAAACAAACAACTTCATTGCAAGTCAGCCACGCAATACGCCGAGAAGCAGCAATAAACACAACGGATACATTAATAAGGCCAAGATGCACCAAAAACGATCTACAGCCTAGACGCCCTCGTAATTAGGCAAAACATCCACAGGGAGGCCCCGGAAGCCTCTAACGAACTCCTACAACAAAGACCTTTAACAAGGCCCTAAAGGCCGTTGCTCTTTTTTTCTTTGCTGTTAGCCTTATTATCCTTGCCGTTGGCTTGTTCTCTTTGCCGTTGGCCTTAACTGAATAAACTATATACATATGAAGGGGTCTAGGGTTTAGGGGTTTAGGGTTTAGGGGTTTGAGGTTTAGGGTTTAGGGTTTAGGGAATTTCGGGGATCTTGAGCGCAGTGAGCAAAACGGCGGAAAGCCTCATGCTTGGCAGAGGCTGCCCTGCAAGGACACCGGTCTGGTGAAGCTCGACAACCGGGCTTAAAGGTTCGTGGGATTTTGATACTGGGTTTGCTTATTATAGTGGGTTTGGAGATTAATCCGTTCCCCCTAATATTAATACCCCCCCAATATAAAGAACCCCCTGGCCCAAAATCCCGATCCCGTGCCTGTCCCTATTAAAATCTCTACAGAGAGAGGGGGAGTTAGGGGGGGGGAGGGTTGGAAGCCGGAAGCAGAAACATGAACCTTTTCCAAACGTAGCTGTCTAGGCTTAGGCTGGGCTGCTGAGCCAGCGTGCTGCAATAAGGACGGGCTGGTTTTTCGGACAAACGATAAGAACCCCCCCAAATACAAAAAACCCTTTGGGGGTTTTTATACAAGGGAGGGGGGGGGGGGGGCCTTTAATATTAGGGGGAACGGATTACGGGGGCTTGGGGGTTTAGGGTTTAGGGTTTAAGGTTTCGGGGCTTGCGGTTTTGGGTTTCAGGTTTGTGATAATGAGATGGAAGTGTTCCCTAGCCCTGGCCCGTAAAAGCGCAAAGCTACCCCTACAGTCGCGGAAGGTCAGTTCGGCTGCAAACTCGCCCACAACGGCGACAAGCTTCTCACAGCCCGAGGTGTCGCACAGGTAATTATGGCAACTTAACTAAATTTGCCGAACGAGGACCCAGCTAAGGGGCCACACACCAATCCTGAATCTAAAGCTTGAGACTCAACATGTGCCTCGGTCTAGGTAGGCCCTGGGAAGATTTGGTTTGGACGAGCTGGCGTTCCCGAATCATGAGCATAAAGATCACATTTAGGAACGCTAGCCGCTAGCTTCTTCAGAGCGTTTTTTGCTGACACTTACAAATCAAAGGGCCAACCTAGTGTTTCAACGCCTGCGACGCTTGCAGTTGTGACAGCGGCAAGATTGGGTGTGGCGGTACCAGATCACGTACTGCACTAAACTCAGCTGCTTGTCGAAAGTGACGAACTCCATGTGGTCTAGCTTCCCGCGATTTGCCCTTGCTTGGACTGTGATTGAGTCATAGGGCTCATTGTTTTCACGCTCAGGAGCTCGGATGCTCTCGCTGCGCACGTCCTGGTCTGTTACGGAGAAGGTAGAGCCGAGGAGGACGCGGACGACCAGCACGCATCGCTCCCCCATTGCATGGTTGCAATCTCTGAAGCTCGCATCCACCGAGCACTCTTTGCATGTGGTGTAGAAATCCTTGCGCAGCAGGTGCGAGGTACCCAAGGGGCATTCAAGGACATCTGGGCCTCTTAATTTAAAGAAAATGGGAAGGAAGAGAAGAACCAATTGTGGAGAGGATCCGACTTCGAGGCATTCTGGGCAAAGTAAGCTCCTCTGCCAAACATTGCGCCGGCGGTCTCTCCCCCACGCTGTGGGTCAAGACCTCTCCTGCAAATCGCTGACACAGAGTCGAGAGGACAGGCGTGGAAGAGCAAGTACCTCCGCTGTTCGGCTTAGGGGTGGGGTGGAGGGCTTATAGGAGCTGTCCGAACCCTGCGGACCCCAAAGCTCCGGCTTCATAGACGTCTCGAAACAAAAAGAAGCAAACAAAGCCCTGCAAGTCCAACAGGGAAATGCGCGCGTGCACGCGCACGCGCGGCCTCTTGCCCTTTTTCACGACTTGCTATTATCGTGTTTCTGCATCACCGTCCATATTTTGCTCTTGTGATCTCATCGAAACATTGCAACGGCCGATGGGGACTGAGCTACAGTATGGGCCGTTCTGCGGGCAAGAGATCTTCCGTAACCTGGTGACCCCAAAAGGGCCCAACAAAGTTAGATCAACCCATATTGATGAAACGTGTGGGAAGCACCAAACGAAGGGAGAGTCTATCACGCGGCGCACGTGCGTGTGCGTTTCCTGTCGCGAACGATCGGCGTCTCCGCAACCGGTAAACTCGGAAGACTGTGTCAACACGTCACTTAAGAATGCATAATAGTTGCACATTCGTTGAACCTTTTTGGATGAATCCATATTCAGAACGTGCCCATGTGCGGCCACTGGCACTCATTCAAGTCCACACAGCGTGGCTCCGCCTCACATTTGAAGGCCTCGATGTTTGGAATCTCAATGCATCCCACTGGGTTCCGATTCATTACTTCGCCACCTCGAGCCGCTTTGTAGGCTCGCAGCTTGGCGGGGTTGACCACTTCCTCGATACCTGGGCTGCTGCGACGGGGCTTCAAGTATGCTTTAATTTACTCTGGATAGAGAATCAACAAGATAAGGCCTTCTTTATTGTGGTAACTTACATGCCCCTAAACCCTAAACCCTAAACCCTCAAGCCTGAACAGCTACCCAGATACGTGAGACCTGCACGTCCGGGGCCTCAGACCATATCGGCGAAGCAAAGTGCTCTCGGTGACTTGCCATAGAGCCACGAAGAAGACCACCTAGACCCAAGAGTAATCCCTAAGCCCTAAACCCCAAACCCTAAACCCTAAATCCTGAACCCAGAGTAATAACCAGGGCTTGGGCTTAGGGTTTCAGGTTGGCCCAAGAGTAGCCTAGGAATAAAGATGGCACCCCTTGTTGGCTTAAAGGGGCTCCGAAGGGAACCTAAACCCTAAAAAGGGAATAAGGGCCTACCGTAGAAGCCTTCTCATAATTAGAACAGGGTTTTGGGGGGCCATTAGAGTAGTCTTTTCAGCGGACCATAAGGGAATATTCTTAGAAACGATTCCAACCCCTATGAACCCTGAACCCTAAACCCTAAACCCTAAACCCTAAACCCTAAACCCTAAACCCTAATCTGAGTCCGAGTCACAAAGTGCGCTGTGTTTGGGGTCATCGCTTGGCAATTCGACCTGGTCGCAGTCTCTGAAGGATCCGGCGAGTGTGGAGTAGGATGGCAGTGGAGACAGAAGTCCTCGGGTTTGGGGTTTATAAGGTAGGGTTTAGGGTTTAGGGTTTGGGGTTTGGGGTTTAGGGTTTAGGGTTTAGGGTTTCGGTCTATGGAAGTGTAGGGCTTAGGGTAAGGGAGGTTTCTAGAATCAGCACAGTTATCTCTTTTTGCTTGGCTTCTTCAGCAGAAGGGAACTTGAAAGAATGATGCGAACTATGCTAAACCCGAATCCCTAAGCCCTAAACCCTAAGCCCTAAGGCCTAAACCCTAAACCCTAAACCCTAAACCCTAAACCCTAAACCCTAAACCCTAAACCCTAAACCCTAAACCCTAAGCCCTAAACCCTAAACCCTAAACCCTAAACCCTAAACCCTAAACCCTAAACCAGGCCGGGGGTCTCCGAGAATTGGCATCTGCCTCCAGCTTGTGCCGTTTGTGGGACATCTCGGCCTCAAGGAGTTCCTCCTCCTTCTGGTTACGCGCTTGGCGCTCGTCCGCCAGTTCCACCTCGAGTCCTGGCTTAGGGTTTCTAGGGTTTCTAGGGTTTATAGGGTTTATAGGGTTTATAGGGTTTATAGGCTTTATAGGGTTTATAGGGTTTATTTTGTTTTTTAGGGCTTATAGGGTTTAGGGTTTAGGGCTTCTCCTACCCAGGCATCTTACATTGAGACCAGAGAGGTTCGGAAAGATGCTACGACTGTATCAGGCCGAAGGTCTCCGAGAATAGGCATCTGCTTCCAGCTTTTGCCGTTTGTGGGACTTCTCTGCCTCAGCCAGCTCCCCCTCCTTCTCTTGACGTGCGCGGCGCTCCTTCGCAAGCTCCGCCTCCATTTCGGCAAGGCGCTTCTGGCATGCCTCGAGCCTAGGATGGACCTTAAGACCCTCTTTAGGATGGACCTTAAGGCCCTCTTTCAAAGATCTACTCCTGAATCTGATCCTCTTCAACACCAATAAAGGAAGATATGGAAATGTCCCAAGGGCCCACTGAGGAGCTCTTCCCTGGCTTGATCAGATTGCAGGCGCTCGTCCAGCAGCTCCCACTGCAGTTGCGCGATCGTGGGGGCAGAGCGCCTCCGCAAGTGCCGCTCCTTTCCCGTGCGCAGGTTCCGCTGCGTGAGGGTTTTGAAGTCGATCAGGTACGTATACTGGTGGATAGACACCTTGCAGTGGGGGCGCCCTGCGCCATGTGCCCTCTCAATCGCCTTGGAAGCCTCCAGCTCGACAGGTTTCCAGTCGTGCGGCTCGCGCTCAAGGAACTCCCACCGCGTCTGCCCGGAAGCCCCCTTGGTAGCCCAGTAACCATATTTTAACAAGGGCACCCTCTTTTGGGTTGGCGAATTTATAAGGGAACCCTGAACCCAAAAAAAAAGGATAAAGGGTACCACTGGGCTACCAAGCCTCAGTGCAGTCTGAATCCTGGCTTGGGGCTGATGGAGGATTGGTCGAGGAAGAAGCACTCTCCGAGTGATCCTGGCCATCGACAGGTACCCGCGCCGTGCCTTGGGGAAGCTCGCGGCGCCTCCGACGGCGCGCCAGTTTCAACTCCGACTGCAACTGCGCAAGATCTGTGCACTTCGCGAGGTCACCGGGGGCCAGATTCAGGAACACATTCAGCATCATGGCAACTCGTCTTATGGGAAGGCTTCTTTGCCACTAATGAGTGAATACCTTGCTGTGTAAGGAGTTGAGTTCGGGCATGGTATGGCACGTTAGGTAATCCCCCCTAAGGTCTATGAAGCCTAAACACCCACCCCTTGTGGCCTAAGCATCTCAAGGCTCTCCATACACTTTGGGGGTTCTAGCGGATTCGTCCCGAGACCATACCATCCTCAACCCTAACAGCCAGCATCCCTGCTGGGTAGGGATCGGGGGTTCGGTACCCTAAACCCCGAACCCTAAACCTTACATCCATTACTTAGGGTTTAGGGGTGCTGCCTGCACTGAAAGCCCAAAGAGAGCTGTTGTCCAGCGATGTCTGCAATCGATGATCTGATACAGTTTAGGGTTTGGAGCTTGGGTTTAGGTTTTAGGGCTGAGGTTTAGGGTGTTGTTTGTGCCCGGATGGCCAGTTGTTACTGTGGCCCTATGGCTCAAAGGCTTGCACAGGAACCCCGACCCGAAACCTCAGGTTTAGGGCTTTTTGGGGCAAGGATTTTCAGGGGAACGGGTTTCAACCCTAAACCCTAAATGCTGAATGCTAAGCCCTAAACCCTAACCCCTAAACCCGGGATTCGGGGTGGGGGGGCCTTTCTGGCTGCAGGGTTGGGACTTTAGCTACGAAGCTCCAAGCAGCTTCAATCTGTCTAGACCTGAGGAGGTGGACAGCAGCATTTGGAGGTTCATCTGTATTGCCTATCAGCGTTAGAAGATGTTAGAAGTAGGGCAACTATGGTTGCAACCTCATTTGCGGCCTTATAAGGTCTACTTATAACGTACCCATTAGGGTCACAGGTAAGCTTATTTTGGGTCCTGAAAAGCTACACCTAAACCCTAAACCCTAAACCCTAAACCCTAAACCCTAAACCCTAAACCCTAAACCCTAAACCCTAAACCCTAAACCCTAAAACCCTAAACCCTAAACCCGAAACCCTAAAGTACCCATGAGCCTTCAAGTTCCGGCCTCAAAGCTGCTGATGCTGTGGACTCCGACAAAGGTGGCGTTGACATTGTCCTCGCAGATCCTGTCTAGCGTTTGGGGTTTAGGGTTTAGGGTTTAGGGCGGGTAAGGCGCATGAATCGCCATGTAATACCCTTATGGTTGGATGCAGAAGACGCCGAAACCCTAAACCCCAAGCCCCAACCCTAAACCCTATAGACCCTAAATTTTAGGTATGGCCGACTTCAAGCATTGTCCATTCTGGCGCCTGGGTACAGGATCGGGTCACCTGTCACGCGCAAGAGGAGCTCCACTGCAGGGTTTCGGGTTTCGGGTTTAGGGTTTAGGGTTCAGGGTTCAGAAGAGAACTATGGAGACTAGCTCCAAAAAGAACTACCTAGACCCTGAGCCCTAAACGCCAAACCCTGAAGCCCAAATAGCTCCTTAAGGCACTGGGCAACGAAGGCCGGCTTCACTCTTCGCTGGGGAGGTGTGCTTGCTACAAAGACGAGATACGACCTTACTTGGAGGTTCATGGTTCTTATTGACCAATTGTAACTGTACTTCTACCCCACTTGTAAGCCCCCTAAGTGCCCTAGTATGGTTATAAGTACAGTTTTATGTACCGTTATATCTGCTTTATACGTACCATGAGCCTCCAAGTACTTCCATTAGCCCTAAACCCTTACACCCTAAACCCCCTACACCCCGAACCTCCCAGATCGAAAGCCACAGCCTGCGGGTGGGACCCCTTGATACCTCACATCCTATAAACCCGCATCCTATCCTGAACTCGGAACCCTAGCAAAAATCTTCATGTTAGCTGTTTCTCAGGAATTCAAGTGCCCCACGATTTAAAAAATACAAGTATCCCTAATAAGCATCCTGGGCTGCACGCCGCCACAAGGACATCAGGGTCCTAAACCCTAAACCCTAAACCCTAAACCCTAAACCCTAAACCCTAAACCCTAAACCCTAAACCCGAAACCCTAACCCTCTAAGACCGTCTCCGACCCTGTGCGGGAGCCGAGTGTGGGGGGGGGGGAGTCGGTCCTTCACCGCGCAGGTTCCGCCTTGGGCACCTGTCGCACATGATGTTCAGGCCCCTAGTCTTACTTTAGGGTTTAGGGTTTAGGGTTTAGGGTTTAGGGTTTAGGGTCTAGGGTTGAGGGTTGAGGGTTGAGGGTTTAGGGTGCAGGGTTTAGGGTTTAGGGTTTAGGGTGCAGGGTTTAGGGTTTAGGGTTTAGGGTTTAAGATTTAGGGTTTAGGGTTTGGGGTTTAGGGTTGCTTCTCCAAGAATTAAGGGAAAAAGGCGAAATTTTCTACTCCTACTAAATAAGGAACCTAAAAAAGTTTAAAGTTCGAGCGTTTGCCAAGTAAGTATGGCAAGGCAAAACTTACAGGTGTTAGAGGGTGTATACTGGCAGGTTCGGGAGCAGTTGGGCAACTAGGTTGCAAGTATCCCGCTGTAATACGGCTATAAATACTCAGTAAGAAGCTGTACCTAGTGGAAATTCCCAACTATGGCTACAGCTCCAGAGCGCCGTGTGCTGCAGAGAAACCTAGGGCAACTGAGGGTTTTCACGGAGTTTAGGATTTAGGGTTGCGGCGAATCCCTAGCCTTGCTTCTTTATCCCTTAGTTTGATGCTGTCAGGGGGGGAGACTCAACGTCCAGAGTAGTTGGGCGTTGCATACTCTTTCAAGATCGCTATGCAAGAAATGCTGGGAACCCAAAGCCTGTTGTTTAACAGGATCTCATTAAACACCACCTGCAAAGTCAGATTTGGGCTCGTCAACCCATTACTACGACTTGCTAAGAACCCAAAAAGACAGCAAGAACCCAAAAAGAATAATTATCCCTACGCTTGCCCTGATAAGGAAAAATTTTATGTTTTGGGGGGTTCTTAAGCAAACCCTAAACAGAATAGTAATCCCTACATTGCCCTTACAAGGTAGAATATTTCCATGTTTTGGGTGCTCTTAAGGAAATCGGATAGGTTAATATAGGGGTCGAAAAAGTTACTAATACTCTTCCCTTATGGTCCCTATATAACTATTATGCTATAGTAAGCCCCAAACCCTATTTTAATTCTTAAGGCCCCTATATTAGGGTTTAGGGTTTAGGGTTTAGGGTTATCGCATCACATCCAGACCCTGCAGGCCTCCAAGATCACGAGCCGACGCTGGCGTCCCGATGTGGTGTCACAGGGGTAAGCGGCCTCGACGCGTTTGAGGGGGGGGAGAGGGGGGAGTGGGGTTTAGGGTTTAGGGTTTAGGGTTTAGGGTTTAGGGTTTAGGGTTTAGGGTTTAGGGTTTAGGGTTTAGGGTTTAGGGTTTAGGGTTAGGGTTTGGGGTTTCGGGTTTAGGGTTTCGGGTTTAGGGTTGAGGTGTTAGGGTGTCTCATGCAAACAGTGCCCCTGGGCGCGCCCCGAGTCGCACATTCCCAAGCCCCAATAGTCGGAAAAATGCGCCCACAGATACCCGCAGATAGGGTTTAGGGTTTAGGGTTTAGGGTTTAGGGTTTAGGGTTTAGGGTTTGGGGTTTGGGGTTTGGGGTTTGGGGTTTGGGGTTTGGGGTTTGGGGTTTGGGGTTTGGGGTTTGGGGTTTGGGGTGTTTGGGGTGTTTGGGGTTTGGTGTTTAGGGTTCCATAGGGGGCCCAGAGGTTGTTGATGCAGCCGCAGGTCCAAGAGATCGAGCTGTGCCGCACGCGCGAAGGTGCGGAGCTTTGGAACCAGGGCCTCTTCGCTTTTCGGGCTTTTGTTGGGTTTGGGGTTTGGGGTTTGGGGTTTGGGGTTTAGGGTTTAGGGTTTAGGGTTTGGGGTTTGGGGTTTAGGGTTTAGGGTTTAGGGTTCTTCCCTACTTTGGAGTAGACCCTGGAACAAAAGTATATACTGTCTAGGTAGTAGGCAGCTACAATAGGAACCCAGAACCCAAAAAAGGTATTACAGCATAGTACTCCAAAACCCAGTCTTTTTGTTTTTTTGGGGGAGATGGACTCAGGGGCTTAGGGTTTCTAGGGCTTAATTGTGATTCGACGGTGAGGGCTTGAGTTGAGTGTGTGGTGTTTGTTGTTCGGGGTTTTCGTGACGAAAAGTTCAGACTTGGGTTTAATTTCCTTACGGTCGGTGGGTGGGCCGGGGGGGGAGGGGCGGATAAGGATTTTGTGTTGTTGCTTGCTATTGCATTTCAGCCGTTCGCCGTTCGGGGGTTCGCAAATTCAGGGAGTCGAGGTTTGGGGTTTCGGGGGGTGCCGGGGGGGGGGGGGGGTAGCGATGCAGTTTTGACACAGTGAGACGATGAGACGAATGTAAGGCGTGCGTAGAGTGCTTCGCACTTTGCAGCCAAAGCCGAACCCTAAAACATAAACCGCCTAAAGGAAGTACTTGAAGCCCGCGCATTCCCTATTTAGTCACAGGAACCCTTGAGGCCTCGTGGTACCCAGACTTCCCGCACCCCTAGTCAAAGGATCGTAGACTCGTAAACCTCTTAGGGGTCGGGTGGTCCCCGGGAAACCATCGCAGTCGTCTAACCTTTAAACAGCAGACTAAGAACCCTGAACCCTGACAAGCACTAAACCTTAGACCCTAAGCAAAACTAGCGCAAGGGCCAGCTAGAGGTGCTTCAGTTTTCCCCGCAAGTTTAGTCAACTTACTGCAGGGTTTCCGGTTGAGGGGTTTAGAGCTTCTTTGGAGCGAACACCTTGCTGGAGCAACTCCGATCCCCTCCCCGCAAAGGGCCTGCGGACAAAGAAGAACTGCCCGGGCCCCAGGCTTGAGGAGTCCTGCTTGGGATTTCGGGCCTGTGTGGCTCATAGTTCACCTATGAACACATGTAGGTTGCCTAGGACAACTTAAAGGCCCCCGAGCACATGTTCAATACTAGGTGTACGTAGGTCCTGGAGGTGTTTTTGTACATGAGGGATGCGGGCTCATGCGCTAGCGAAGCAACGTCTAGCATTACGCTCGCGCTCCCTAATCCTTCAGACCCAGAGCAGCCCCGAGTCCAAACAACTAGCTGTTGCTGGCGAGGGACTGGGGCATTGAATAGCCATGCAACTATACAAAAATCTGTGTAGATACATACATATGTATAATAAATAAGTGTGTACATATATACACACTATACGTATACACCTATATACAGAAGGGCCTGAAGAAACATGTACACATATATATTTTTGTATATATATATATATATATGTATACTAGAATAGGCTATACCTACCCTAAACACTAAACCCCAAACCCTAACCCTAAACCCTAAACCCTAAACAGGGTGATTCCTGGATAAAGACTCACGTGTGCACTACCAAAGAACAGGGTTCATAAGACTCAGGCGTAGGGTTTAGGGTTATAGGACTCCAGGTTATAGGACTGAGGGGGTTAAGGCGTCGGGTTTCGGGTTCAGGGTTTAGGGCTTAGGGTTAAGGGTTCAGGATTTTAGGGCTTACGGTTAAGGGTTTGGGGTCTACGGCTTAGAGTTGAAGGTTTGCGTTTTGGGGTTTAGGGTTTAGGGTGTAGGGTTTAGGGTTCAGGGCGTAGGGTTTCGGGTTTTGGGTGTAGGGTTTAGGGCTTAGGGTGTAGGGTTTAGGGTTTAGGGTGTTTTTGTTTTCTTGCTTGTTGCTTTCGGGCTTAGGGTTAAGGGCCTCGGGTTTAGGGTCTAAGGTTTAGAGTTTAGGGTTAAGGGTTTACAGTAGTAAGGCTAAACGTTTAGAACGGGCATATCTCTGATTGCATCACAGATCTCCTATAAGGTTTGGGGTCTAGGGTTTAGGGTTCAGGGTTCAGGGGTCCGTCTCACGTGGGTTCCTAGTCGCAATGCAGTCCTTCAACAAAGCTTGGAACCTGATCTAAACCCTAAACCCTAAACCCGAAATCCTAAACCCTAAACCCTAAACTACCACTATATCACCATATACAGCTGCCACTACCTCGCTGAATAAGTTTAGAATCAAAATCCTAGAAACCGAAAGGCGGAAGCGTTAAGGATCTTAGGGGTTTAGGGTTTCCGGGTTTAGGGGTTTAGGGGTTCAAGGGTTTAGGGGTTTAGGGGTTTAGGGGTTTAGGGGTTAGGGGTTTAGGGGTTCAGGGGTTTATGGGTTCAGGGGTTTATGGGTTTATGGGTTTATGGGTTTATGGGTGTAGGGGCGTTAAGGCGTTAAGTGTTTAGGGCTTAGGGGTTTAGGGGTTAGGTGCTTAGGGTTTAGACGTTCAGGGGCCAGGTGTTTAGGGTTTATGGGTTTATTCGGGGGTAGGGTTTAGGGGGTTTAGGGTGCAAGGTTCGGTGCCCATGGGCTTGCCCCTGCCCCAAAATTTTGCGAGTGCTGCGTATGCCTCGGGCAAAGTCCACATAATTCACTAAAGAGTTGTGGTTTCCAAAATCAAGATTAAGGTATTTTTGGGGGGTGTATGAAGCTAAGGGGATACCTGTTTTTCAAAAACTACGAAATCTTACAGTTGCAATGCCTATTCGTCCTTGCCAGAAGGTGCACAATCTCTGTGTGACCCCTCTGGTATGCCACATCTCTTGCTGTCTGCTCAAAGTCGGCACAAACATCAAGGAGCAGGCGCACAATCTCGATGTGGCCAGACGCGGCTGCTATATACAGCGGCGTCTTTCCTTGATAGCACTGATCTGTTTCGGCACCAGCATCCAGCAGCGCGCTCACGATGTCGACGTGACCTCCCTCAACTGCTAGGCAGAGGGGTGTCATGCAAGTCTCTGTCGGGCGCTCATCCGGTTGGGCACGCGCTTCCAACAGCACGCGCGAGATGTGAATGTGTCCGCTGCGGGCTGCTGCACGAAGGGGCACTCCCCCAAATGAGTCGTAAAAGCGGTAGATGCCATCATGCCCACCTGCTGGCAAGTGCTCATGACAAATATTTATTGAACGTGCGCGATACATCCGGTTCCGATGTTGCTTGCCATTAGCGTCTGCCCTCGCTTCCAGCAGCAAGCGAACACTCTGCAAATCACCAGCTTTGGATGCCTTGAACAGAGGCGTGTCTTCAAAGGGATGTGCAAAGCCCTCCTTGTCAGCTCTAGCCACAAGAAGCAAGTGAACAATCTCAGCACTTGTTTCAGCTGCCACGCCAATAGGAACAAGGCAGCGCATGTTTGCACCTTCCTCCAATTCTATGCTGCACCTGTGGTCTTGCCTCTCAAAGAACATATCGAAAGTACCACCCTCTATGCCAATGAATTCTTCCATCCCATCTCTCGGCACAGCCAAAGAACATGAAACCCAAGGCTGCTTCTGAAGATCTCCGAATGACTTGTCTGCGTTCGCACAGGCTTCCAACAAGGCACGCGCTACCGCAACATGGCCACGGCTTACAGAGCTTCCAAGAGGTGTTGCTTCTGGCCCTGAATATCGTGCATAAAGCTTGTCCACGTCAGCAGCAGCTTCCAGTAGTAGCTGAACTATCTCCAGATGACCATTCTCAGCTGCGATACCCAGAGGTGTCATTTCTCTAAACAGGAAGGACTCGCTGCATGCCATGTTTGGATCTTGCGGTCGCTGTAAAATCTCCTCGACCTCACCAATGTGGCAGCCCTCAGCAGCACGTACCAGCTGGAGCGCCTGCGATTGGGAAGCAGCAACGAACGGGAGCAAAACCAGCTGAATATCAACATCGCTGGATGATGTCAACACGGTGTCATCATCCCAGTTTACGCAATTGTGCAAGAGCCTTTGTGCAAATCGCGGTCGCCCGCATAGGCTCTGCAAGTGTTGCTTCAAGTTCCGTACATCACGCACCTCGTCCACACTTAGAGCACACACTTGCTCTCCTGAAGTCTTCCAGATGCGCAGCATGAACCTTAAACCAAAACCCTAAACCCTAAACCCTAAACCCTAAACCCTAAACCCTAAACCCTAAACCCTAAACCCTAAACCCTAAACCCTAAACCCTAAACCCTAAACCCTAAACCCTAAACCCAAGCATTCAGCTGCTGAAAGATGGGACTCATGGGACTCAGACGAATAGAGTCTTAGAAGTTTCTGTGCTACTAGGCTGGTGCAGGAACAAGATCAGGGGAATGATTGCAAAAGATTCGAGGAGTTTCCTACTTTGCTAGGGTCACCCTTGGAGCTTGGGACCTTCGTTTGCCGAACGCTAAACCCTAAACCCTAAACCCTAGACCCTTTTGATAACCCCCAACTTCTCAGCCTGAGTCTTTGGCCCAAAGCGGCTTGGCTCAAAGTCATTACTGTTTAGGGTTTAGGGTTTAAGGGTTTGGGATTTTAGGGTTTAGGGTATAGGGTTTACTAACCTGTGCCACGTTGAACCCTAGATAAAGTTATGTATGCATACATATAGAGAGAGAGAGAGAGAAAGAGAGTGAGAGACTTTCTATGTAAGAATATGGGGATTCAGCAGTGATTGTTCCGGGGATCCTTTATGAGTACTTAGAAGTAGGGCTGCAAGTAGGGGAACTATGGTGAAAGCCTGATTTTAGGTACTTTATATAATTCTAACCCTACCCTTCTTGTACGAACCCATCTGAACCTGCAAGGACCGGAAATCAGGGACCACTGTCAGTCACCTTGGGGCCGTGGTGGTGTCTTGCATTCTTCGACCGGTATACTCATACTGCAAAAGATACCGTACATTGCTTGTGCTCACGCAGGGTCGTCGAGGAGCGAACTCTCGCATTGCTATAGCGGCGTCAAGAGCCGATTATTACTGGGAGCCTCCCCAACTCACACCAACACAAACTCCAAAGCAGCACGACACCCTAAACCCTAAACCCTAAACCCTAAACACTAAACCCTAAACCCTAAACCCTAAACCCCAAACCCTAAACCCTTTGCTGACAAATTCCCTCTGTAAAGGCCATGCCAAGGGGGCGTCTGGCAAGGTGGAAGATGCCTTCTGCAAAGTCCTGCCGTTTAGGCTGCAACCCTAAACCCCACCTCAGAAGCCGAGCCTAAAACCATAAACCCTAAACCCTTAACCCTAAACCCGAAACCCCAAAACAAGGAACTAGTCACTAGTCCACACATCGGCGGCTGTAGCCCAAATCAGAATCCCTCAAAGCCCCCTGAACACTAGTCCTCAAAAAGATCATCTCGAACTCAATAGTGGAAGACCGAGTCCTCAAAGACCCCAACCCCCGCGGATTTAGAACTCCCGAATCCCCTAATGGGGAATATCACTTCAAATGTAGCAGGGATCCTAGTATGATTTAAGGGGTATTCGCTCATTCAGGGAGCATGTGTCTCCCACACCTTCCCCTTGCACGGGTTTAGGATTCAGGGTCCACGGTTAAACCCAAAAACCCAAAAACCCTAAACCCTAAACCCTAGGCCCTAAACCCCAAACCCCAAACCCCAAACCCCAAACCCCAAACCCCAAACCCCAAACCCTAAAGCCCAAACCCTAAACCCTAAACCCTAAACCCTAAGCCCTAAACCCTAAACCCTTACCCTTCGACGAGCCCTGCCATGCAGAATGGCAGTTTCAGGGTTGGGGGTTGACACACGGAGACGCTCAAAGGCTTAGGATCTAGACAGGGTTGTGGTGCTTGGGGCCTCCGCCCTGAACCCTAAGCTTCAAGCACGCTCGAAAGTCGAAGGAGTCTTCCCCAAAAGTCCCCCGGGATCCTTCGTATAGGGTGGTTTATAAGCCTTCCTCGGGTCCTGAATGAAGGGATGTAGGAAAGTTTCGGGTGTTCTTTTGCTCTGGGAGTCTGCACGGCACGGTGTCTTCAAAGGGTGAAGCTTTTGACATCCGCGTGCCCTTTACACAGAGAATGCGGGTACTACTGGGCATCCTCGTGTAGGGCTTAGGGCTTAGGGCTTAGGGCTTAGGGCTTAGGGTCTAGGGGTTTAGGGGTTTAGGGGTTTAGGGGTTTAGGGGTTTAGGGGTTTAGGGGTTTAGGGGTTTAGGGGTTTAGGGGTTTAGGGGTTTAGGGGTTTAGGGGTTTACGGGTTTAGGGGCTTAGGGCTTTAGGGTTTAGGGTTCGGCTCAGACGCATGTCCTCAAGAGAGTGGTAGAAGGGAGACTCCCGGTGCCCATAGGGAAGATCCGCCAACAGCGCATCGTAACCTAGGAGAGAGGTGGGTAGTTTTCAGACCCTCAAGCCACCCTAAACCCTAAACTCTAAGGGTAGTTACATAGGCCCTAAATATGGTCCCTGTTACAGGAATTAGAAGGGGTCCCCTTTTCAGGGCCCATACTAATGGACCATGAAACTACCCCTAAACAAACCCTAAACCCTAACCCTAACCCTAAGGTTTTGGGGGCACCCCGTGCCCGCCGAAGCTGCCAGCCCGAAGCCAGAAAACCGTTAGCTTGTAAACCCTCTGAATCCCAAACCCTGAACCCTATGACCTCAACTTCTCCAGAAACTCCAGGGGTGCTGGAGTTGTCGCTGGAGTTGGAAGTTAGGACGACAGGCTTCGGGTTCAGGGTTGATGTTCGGAGTTGTAGGTTTTGAGGTTTAGGGTTCAGGGTTGTACTTGGAAATTCATGGTAACTTCTAGGTAGGGTTTAGACGTACCCTCGATAGGGTTATAACCATGGTTACCTTACTTGTAACTCTAATACTTCCAGCACACACGTCTGGGACGCCTTGGCTCAGCGTGAGCGGGCGAAGGCGACAACTCCAATGCCTCCAAATATGCACGAAACCTCCAAGTAGGTGTTGGGATTTCGAGAGAGATTCGAAGCCAACCGCAGTCCACCTTTAGGGTATAGGGTTTAGGGTTTAGGGTTTAGGGTATAGGGTTTAGGGTTTAGGGTTTAGGGTTTAGGGTTTAGGGTTTAGGGTTTAGGGTTTAGGGTTTAGGGTTTAGGGCACCCTTTTCTCTGTTTACAGGGGGGGAGGAAAAGGGAACCTTACTCCCAGAAAATGGGACGAAGGGCCTTCTCTGGTTCGAGGTGGAGGTTCAGGGTTTGGGGTTTAGGGTTTGGGGTTTAGGTAGGGTTTGGGGTTTGGGGTTTAGGGTTTGGGGTTTGGGGTTTGGGGTTTAAACTTTGTAGGGAGCTTTCCGCGCCAAGCCGCACTGGCCGTAGACGCTGAGTTGGGGATCCAGGGCGTCACCGCCTGAGTTTAGGGTTTAGGGTTTAGGGTTTAGGGTGTAGGGTTTAGGGTTTAGGGTTTGTTCGATGGCTTCGGGCTGTGAGGAGGCCTGCCCAGAGAAACCCAAGATGTGGCCCAGTTAGGGTTTTAGGCTAAGGGTTTCGGGTTTGAGGGTTTAAGGCTTAAAGGCTTGAGGTTTCGAGGCTGCAGGAAAGGAACCTCAGACCTGAACAAAAACCTGAAGCATCCGAGACATCCAAAGTGGCCGACAAAATATCACTTGTACTATAAGCCCTAGGCCCTAAACCCTAAACCCTAGACCCTAAACCCTAAATCCTACTAAACCCTAAACCCTAAACCCTAAACCCTAAACCCTAAACCCTAAACCCTAAACCCTAAACCCTGAACTCAAGCTGGAGCCAAGGCGCAACAAAGCGTCGGTGCCGGCAGGCCCAACACGGAAAAGTTCGTCGCGACATCGGGCGCCTCTTACATCAGCCCTAAGTTCGCCCTGGACTGGAAGAACAGCGGGAATGGACCGGCCCCATACTCCCGGGTCAGGGAAGTCTCTAGGGCCTAAAAGTCTCTAAAGATCATGGGGGGGGGGGGGGGGGGGGGGAGGGGGGACCCTAAACCCTAAACCCTGAACCCTGAACCCTAAATCTAAACCCGAAACCCTAAAGGAGGCCAAGCTAGTACATGGGTCCTGTTTGTTTAGGGTCGGGGGTTTATACGGATAGGAGCCTCATCCTTTTGCCGTGGACGTGCAGAGCGTTGCCCACCTAGCCAGCAGCGTTGGCAAAATCCGCTTCAGGGTGTATAGGGTTTAGGGTTTAGGGTTTAGGGTTTAGGGGTTAGGGGTTAGGGGTTAAGGGATGGGCTTAGGGTATGTATGGTCTACGTAGAGTAGACAATGCCATTAATTATGCACCTTAGGTGATAGGTGTATATAGCCTTTGCTCTGCTGCCGTGCTTTTCTAGGCAAGGTGCTGCGCTTCTGTCTGGGAGCTTCTCTGGGAAGGACCCCGATCATAGAAGATGGCTGCAAGTCAAGCAAGTGCTAGCTGTTGAAAATGGGAACTGAGATGTTGCCATCTGCATCGCAGACTTCGCTGCCCAAAGGCGCTAGAAATCCTGCGGCCGTGTTTTTCTTTCGCGCGCGCGCGAAGCAAGGAGCCCATACTGTCGGCGGCTCTCACCGGCGTAGTCCCTGAAGCCGCCCCCCTGATGCCGAGAAACCGCCAACTATCCCTAAGCCCCCCAAACCCTCAACCTTCAACCCTCAACCCTCAAAATCTAAACCCTTAGCCCTGGAAACCCTCAACCCTAAACACTAAACCCTCCACCCTCAAGCTTAAACCCTCAACCTCAAACTCAAAACCCCGAAACTGCCATGAGCCCTAGGAGACGGGGGAGGGAAGTTTTGCCTTGGATCTATAGGGTTTAGGGTTTATAGGGTTTAGGGTTTAGGGCTTAGGGTTTAGGGTTTAGGATTTAGGGCTTAGAGGGCCTATGGTTTATCCCACGCCTGTCACTCAGGACGGGGCTCAGCGCGGCGTCGTTTGCATCCACCCCGACCGTTCTGACCATTCGATCGGCATTGTTGGTTTTGGTTTCATGGCTTCGAATAAGCCCTCATAAACCTGAAGCGCCTCAATCACCCCAAACCCTCAACCCTGAACCCTAAATCCTAAGCCCTAAGCCCTACAAGCCCCAAGCCCTAGGGGTTCTTCTTCTTGTTCTGCACGACAGTGTGGGAAACACGTCTTGAGAGCTTGGGAATTATCT